ACACTATTTCGAAACTTGTTTGATAACATAAATTTATTGCTAGATTTTTTAAAGCAAAAATATGAAAGCATGTTTGGTAAAAAGTTTTCAGGTTTGAAAATTTGAATGGTTAGTTAAAAATTTTAATTTAGAAAGAAAAAAAATAATTGAACAATGCTTTGTTACAGTGCGAAAGCAAATAAAAGGATCATTTTGATACTTTTGATTTTGGCCTCAATTTTGGAAGCGCTTCAATACTATTCAAATGACAGCAAAAGTTACCAAACATGGTTCGTGCGGTGGTGAGGGGAGGGCCTCAATTGGTTAAAAAAAACCCACAACCCCTGCGGTTATCCTGCACTTGGAAAAAGAAGTAGAAAAAGAAATAAATATATTGATAATATGATTCTTAGTCGCCATAGTAAATAGGAGAGAAAATGGAATTTATTTCTTCATTTCTTCAAAAAAAAAAAAAAAAAAAGGAAGCCGTACACTAGCAACAGTAAAAAAAAATGAAACAAAAGTGTTAGCCAAACAAAATTTCAGAGAGCTCAGAGTTGAGAACCACAGTGTGGGGAGGATATGAGGTAAACATTTTTTTTTGGCCCATCGGTGATGGGCCTCCTAAGGATTTGCCTTAATTTTTTTTTTTTTTTTTCTATTTTTTTTTTTTTTCTTTTCTTGGACCAAAAGTAATGCGCCTCCTAAATTTGAGGCACTCTAATTTTGGAGGCCCTAGGTAACCGTCTAAGCTGTTTTGAATATATACATTCAGATATATACAAGATATTGCATCCAAGGCCAAGCACGTAAACAAATGGGTTGTCAATCAGTTTCTTTAGGCTTATGTGTGCATTGTGATTGATTTCGGGACAATGTAATAATTATTCATTTAAGGCTTGGAGGTTTCCTCCGAATTGGGTCCATAAAATGTAATTTTTTATTTTTGTGCCCATGTATTTGTAAAATAGTAAGAAAATGCCGGATGATTTAATTTTATTCTTTTATAAAAATCTCTCTATTTATATATATATATTTTTTCTTTTACTCCTCTTCTTTGCTTGAGTCTTACACGAGTTAGAGCATCTATAGCAGTGTGTTGAAAGACTATTTTGTATAAACTATACACAATGTGTAAAATATATATATTTTTATCTTCAGCAGTATGTTAAGATACATTGGCACCTCACCAATGTATAAAATTATTGTTTTTTTTGCATAACCCTTTTACACAGCCACATTAAAATATTTTCTCTCACAGCCACATTAAAATATTTTCTCTCCTCCTTTTTTCTCATTTTATTAACGAATCAACCATATGTTATTAAGTAAATTTGTAAAAGTTATGTGTTTCTGGGGCATAACACATGGTTGGTTGTTATTGACATATATATTTTTACACAAAAGGTATAAAACAATGAGGGGAGCTAAAAAATAATTAGTCCAATTTTATTTTATTTTATTTTATTTTATTTGTATAGATACACATCAAATTTAGAAGAAAAAAATAATAATATAGATAATCATTGGAGATGCTCTTAGGACCGCCTAAGGCCCCAACCAATAAGAAGGGCTCCAAAATTTTTCATTTCTTTATATATTATAACTTTCCTAAAATAATTTATTTCCTGCAATTATTTTTTTCCCCACCAATTTCCCTCAACGAATAAAAAAATTTCTATCCTTTTTCACCATTTTTGGGCCTAAAAAATTTCTATCCTTTTTCACTTGTTTTTCATCGTACCCCAATTTTTTATTTTTATTATTTATTTATATATATATTATAACCTATCTAAAATTTTTATTTTCTTCTATCATTAAACCCTTTTTTTTTTTTTTTTTTCAATTTTTGAATGGTCCTATTATTATTAAAACCTTAACCAACAAAGTGGGCCCAAAATATTTTTATCCTTATATCACCATTACATTAGGTACATATTTCTCCTGGTGAAACTTGCTATATTTTTTTAAGACTCGTATTATTTTTTTTTTTTCTTTTCCACTCACAATTTTACTATCTCACTCCGTTAAAAGATTTTACTTTTTTATTGTATTGAAGAATTTGTTGAAGAATTGGTCCAAATTTTTCCAAAACAGTTTCTATTGTTCTATAACTAAATTATTTTATAGTTTTATTAATTTTTGTTATCATAAAATTATATATTTTACTTGTGAGTTGTCATCATTTTTATTTATAGGGTAAATTGCACTGATACCCCTTGAAGTTTTGGTCAAGATCACTCAGCGGATGGTCAATGGATTTTTTTACATTAACACCGTCTCAAGTTTCAAAAATGTACTTACCTCTAAAACCACTAGCACCTCTATTGAAATTATGAAATTATAAATTTAACCTCCTAACTAAATTTAATAGATCAAACTAACATCTTCATCTATTCTATATATAATAATACTTATACCACCAAAACCATCACCACAACAAAAAAAAAAAATAAAAAAGAATTTATTATTATTATTATTTTTGAAATAGCTAGTGTACACACAAATTTCGCATATGCAAATAAAATAACCAAATATGGGGCAAATAATAATTTATTGATTTATGAAAATTTGAGTACAATCCTCTGAGGTATTCTTTACAAAAGAAAGAAAAGATCATCTAATTCGATCTCCTTTGTTGGTTGGATCTAAGAGCTTGTAGAGCTTGATCTTAAATCGATTTGTTGACAATCTTCTTCAATTTGTACTTGAGGAAGACCATCGATGATTTCGGATTGAGGGCTGACGAAGCTTGATCTTGAACAGTGTTGTTTGGTGATTCTTTAAACTTGTTGAATCACGGAGAAAGAATGGCACGATTTTGATGTGTTTGTTGTTCTTTGTTGAATTTGAGAAAGAAAGACACGACTTTGGATGTGCTTGTTGTTCTTCGTCTTCAGAGAATTTGTTGAATTTGTGGAAAAACGGCAAGGCTTTGGTTGTGCTCGTTGCTCTCCTTTATCAAAACTTGTTATTAGGGATGAATGTCAGAAGATTTGGACTTCTGAGTGTCTGAATTTCTACCTCCCTTTGGATTTTTGAGTCTCTCACTTTTTGGACTCTCTGACTTTCTCTACACCTTTCTCCTTCCTCCATGCCTCTATTTATACGCTTATTGGATTAATAGGATGATGACATGTGTTCTTTCTTGACAAGGACATAATTATAACTGGGTCGGGCCAGTTATATTGTGATAATTATCCATAAAAATAATTATTCCAAATATATTTTATTAAGAATAATTTTTTTTTTTTAATCACCTGGGCTAATTAAATAATTTAAGTTGATTAAATTTGAGTCAAATAAATAATTTAATTAAACATTAGACCCATATTTGATAGGCCAATTTGTCATAACAAAAACCAATGAAATTTTGGTGTCTACAACTAGATAACTCTGTACACCACCAAAACCACCACCACAACATAAAAATAAATAAATAAGAAATTAATTTAATTTTTTTTTTAAAAATAGTCAGATAAATGTACACCACCATATCCACCACCTCGACATAAAAATAATAAAAAAAATAAAAAAAAATATTTTAAATAGCCAAATACACCACCATATATATATAACCACCACAACATAAAAATAAAAAGTAAAAAGTAAAATTAATTTTTTTTAAAAAAATAGCCAGTTACACCACCATAACCACCACCACAATAGTAGAAAAAAAAAAAATAAAAAAAATTTGAAAACTGTCATGGCCAACCCATACTTATATATGCCAAATGCCACTAGAACCACTAACATACTAAGGCAACACCACCAACTCACCCAGACTCAATCTACCAGAACCACCACCACCACCACCACCACGGTAGAAAAAATAAAAATAAAAATTTTGAAACACCCTTATAACCTAGACACCACAACAACCACCATTAAAGTAAAAAATAAATAAAAAACAGGTATAGCCATCTCAAACCATAACAGGGAAAAAAAAAATAGTCATGTCCAAGATCGGGAAGAGATAAAGAGGGAGTGTCAGCGGCTAGGTACTAAAATGAAAAAATAAAAAAAATAAATAAATAACAATTGAGGTGGAGAAAGAGGCTTAATGATGAGGGTTGTTTTGTCAATTAACAAGACTGATATTTTGTAAATTAATTGAATTAAATAATCAGGGACTAATATGACATTTGAAATCAAAAGGAGTGTCATTGCTCAAATATTCGTTGACCTATATTTGAATGATATTGACCGAAACCTCATAAAGTGTCAATGCAATTTAACCTAAATCTCATATACTTGATTGACCTTCCCAACAAAAACAAAGACAAAAAAAAAAAGTAACAGGTATTAAATACATTTTAAAGAAGGAAAAGCAGATGTGGGACCTGCATAAAAATTTCTAAGACGTTCGTAATCCACATAAATGAGACCAAATTGACTTGGTTTGGAAAGTCTTTAAGAACATTTACTCATTCATACATCTAACATTTGTCTTACATTTTCTTTCCCTCTATTGGTCCAAAAAAACCTTTTTTTCCGTTCTTTAATTTCTTATTAATTTGAACACACTTTGAATGCCAGAATAGATAAAATAGATAAATTTGAACATACGCCACCGAGAAATTATTAGGTGAATCAAGACTATAAATTATATCATGATCTGCCTTATATTTTTGGCTTCCGAAAAAAGATAAAAAATTTGATTGAGTATTCTAAGCGATTGATAGTAATAACACTTTATGAAGAGAAATACTCTATTTTTTACTAAACACTAATTATTCAAGTCACACAAAATAATGATAAGATTGTAGCATTAAAGTTTTTATACTATTTTTTTTTTTAATTTTTGAAAAAAGAAGAAGAGCAAATTAATGAAAACCGGGCTATTGAAACCCAGAAAAGTAACAAGTTTGACATTTAAATGTTCATGCCACATTTAAAGTCAAAGTTGGTTGATGGTCTATTTTCCAACACAACTTTATAAAAGAAACAACAGCGATGGACATAAGATAGATCAATCGTATCAGCGCTAGTTCCACAATAGAAACACAATTAATATATATATATATATATATATACACACACACACACACACACACACATACAAAGAGTGAAAGAGAGATGGCGAAGAAGATAATGGTTATAGCTGTGGTTCAGGTTTTAATATCATCGTGGTCTATGGAGATTGCTGAATCTTCTGCTTTCGACTGCTATGAAGATTGTTCCACTGGTTGTGTTCAAAGCGACAGTAAGTTTTTTTTTTTTTTTTTTATTAATTATTCTAGTCAAATTTTAAATCTTAGAATAATAATAACAATAATAATACACATACCCCAAATATTTAGACAAATTTAGTGGTTTAGATGTTTATCTATATATATCTATATATATATATATATATATATATATATATATATATATATATTTCTAAAATAAAAATGTTGATCAACGGCAGATTTAATTTTGTAGTCTCATGACAAGCTATTCCTTATTTTTATTTTCAGCAAGGCTTGTGCAGCATTGTGACCGCAAGTGCCAGATAGAATGCAATCCATGTAACTCTACAATCAATATATATATATATATATATATACACAATAATATAAGTAATACTTTATTTTTTACAAGAAACTCACGGATGACAGACCCGTTTACACTTACGGGAATTTGAAGTAATATTTTTATATATTTTTCACGTTTTTTTCTTACATTTTGTTTTTAGGGTTAGCTTTTGGTCCAAAGTTTCCACAAGATAAAAAACGATGCGAGTCTTTAAAGATCACCTTGCAGAGCTCAGATGGCGAGTCCTTCGAAGTGGACAAGGCCGTGGCATTTGAATCACAGACGATCAAGAACATGATCAAAGATGCTTATGACGATTGCGTCTTTCCTCTGACGAACGTGACTAGCAAGATCTTGGCCAAAGTGATCGAGTATTGCAAGAAGCACGTCAAAGTTCCCAAGACCAACGATGGTACGGTTGATGAGGAGCTAAGGAATTGGGACAACGAATTTGTAAATGTCGATCATCCTACTCTCTTTGATCTTATTCTGGTTGCAAACTATCTGGACATAAAAAATCTGTTGCACCTGACATGCGAGACACTTGGTGACATGATAAAAGGAAAAAGCGTTGAGGAGATCTGCACAATGTTCAACAACAAGAACGACTACACCCTGACGGAGGAGAAATTATTAGATAGTTTTAAACCATTAACACTTGGTGGAAGAGATTCTAAGGAAGAAGAGAATCAGTGGGCATTTATTTGAGTGAGAAATTAATCCACAGTATATTAGGGTTGATAGTATTGTGTATTAGGATTTGAATTGCATAAACCCTAATATTTGAGTGAGAAATTAATCCACACTACATGACATCATTTTAATATTATGTGGTGGCAGGGGACACCCAACACATTCTTCATGCATAATTAGATCTCTAAATTTGTTCATTAGTTTCTTAGACCATTTTAATGTCATTAGCTAAATCATCATAATTGAAAAGAAAATGATTCTTGTATCGAATAGTTGCGGTGAATTACTTAACCTACTCTTTTAATTGATCAATTATTCAATAAATAAGGAAGTAGAACCCTCTACTTCGTTGTATTTACTATAAATAAGTACTTAATTATTTAAAATTTATTCGGTTAGACAATTCACTTCAAGTACTCGGTTTGAATATTAATTTAGGTAACACAACAACTCAATGTTAGGATTTGTTCTTTTTATTTTGATTTTTTTTTTTTTTTTTGTTAAATGGTAAGCTTTATAAAGATAAGAAAAACTGTACAAAAGAAAAGAGACCCCTTGGAGCAGCAACCAAGCAGAGCCTCACAAGGGGGAGAACATACAACAAGGCCATGGCCAATCCCACAAATTTTGGAAGCAATCCGACCCTAGCAAAATACAAGAGCACTCTAACTTTATAGTTAAACAATGAGGTCTTCCAACACATAATACTTATGCAAATGTGGTTGCACACCAAGTCTGATTTCCTGCAAAGGCACATCCTTGCAAGAATAGCTGCAGCAGGTCCTCTTGCTCACCCAAAAGGCTAAACTCATTGCCTCTTCTTAACTTCAATGATGACAATTTAGCTCTAATACAACCTTTGATGAGGCAAATGACATGTTGTAGAAATGCAGCCCTATTCCTGAATGTCCTAGCATTTCTCTCCAGCTAAATAAAGTAAACTGCAGCATTGAAAATGAGCTTGTGGATGTTGAAATGACTTAAGTTCCATGTGTTAGAGCACCAAGTAATTAATTCATCCCAACTCCTGTGTGCAATATAGAATCCTGTAACATGCTGTATGAAACCCCAAATTTGTGCACTGAAATTGCAGTTGAAGAAGAAATGATCTAGTGACTCTTCAGCAGATAAGCAAAGATAGCAAGCATTGGTATAGTGTTTTTTCCTCATTGGCTTAGAGTCCAAGGTGAATAATTTGCCCCTACATGCTAACCAGGTAATACAACTATGCTTTGGGATATTGATCTTATACCAAAGTAGGTGAGGCCAAGTGAAAAGTATAGATGGTGGAGACAAGTATTTGATTGTGTGGGAGAGAGAGAACTGATTTGTAGGGCTTGGTAACCAAATAATCCTGTCATTCTCTGCTGTGGGTGAGGGTATATCATGCAACTAGGATGTGAAGATAATTGATTGGAAGAATTGTAAGTGTTGTAGATCAGGTGGAACCACCCACTAATTGGTGGAAATTAGGCTATCAACTCTAATCCTTGGATTAAGTTGAAAAATTTTCATATCAGAAAAGAGGAACTGATCACATAGGGGACCATTAAGGAGCCAATAGTCCAACCCCATACTGGTGCAAGTGTCATTCCCAATTCTGTGTTTGATGAGTCCCCTTGCCATACCTCTCAACTTCAGTAGACATTTCCAAAACCCTGAGCTTAAGGCAGATTTTTTTAACACACCAGAAGGATTTATCTTTGATCAAGTACCTCTTAGTCCATGCAACCCATAAACAATCTTTCCCTGAGCACAACTTCCAAATATGCTTAAGATTAGAGATAAGATTAACTATACAATATCAGGAAAGCCTAAACCCCCTTGATTCTTAGGCCTACAGACAGCAGCCTAAGAAACTTTTGCACCTCTTTTCTTTAGTTCCACTCCAGACTAGAAAAATGACCTAATGATTTGGTTGATTTGCTCAATCACCCCCTTAGGTAAAACAAAAGCCTGAGACCAGTAAGATTGCATTGAGCTTAACACAGATTTAATAAGCATAGCCCTTCTAGCATCTGATAAGAATCTAGATGTCCACATTCCTTATTCTTTTGACAAGTGTCTGACAGTCCCTTGCATTGATAGATGAAGATGAGAGAGGTAATCCAAGGTAAATAACTGGCAATGAACCAGCTTCACACTGCAGAAGGGACAGGATTGAGGTCTTTTCTTGGCTGCTTACCCCTGTGAAAAAGACTTGGCTCTTCGAACAGTTGATTGATAGTCCTGAGTATAAGAAAAATCTATCCAAAGCTAAGGAGAAAATCTGAACATAACCAAGTGATCCATGACAAAACAAAAGGATATCATCTGCAAACATCAGATATATGAGTGACAGCTTACTGCATCTCCAGTGATAGATAAAATTTGGATTCAGTTGTATGGCATTGTTGATGGACAAGGTTAAGATCTCCATGGCAAGGATAAACAGCATTGGTGATAAGGGATCTCCCTGCCTAAGGCCCCTCTTGCCTTTGAAAAAGCCAAACATCTCTTTATTCAGAGAAATTGAGTAGGATGGGGTTGTGACACATTGTGAAATCCAATTAACAAACACTTTAGGAAATGCAAACAACAACAATAAATCCAAGATGAACTGCTAGTGAATATATAGAATCAAATGCCTTTCTGAGATAAACTTTAATTGTGTAGTTAGGGATATGATTTGATCTGTGGTACCCATTCAATAGCTCATGTGCCAAAATGATGTTCTCTGAAATATTTCTCCCTTTGATAAAGCCATTTTGAGGATAACTAACAAGTGTAGGTAACACCTGGCTCAATTTATGTGCTAACAACTTTGAAATACATGTGTAAAGTATATTACAACATAATATTGGTCTGAAATCATTCACAGTGGAAGGGTTAGGCTTTTTGGGCACCAGAGCTATGTAAGAACAATTTATTTCTGTAAGCAGTCTCCCTGTTGTGAAGAAGTCTTTGACAGCAACAATGATATCACCCCCAATAATATTCCAAGTATGCTTAAAGAAGCATGCATTGTATCCATCAGGCCCTGGACTCTTGTAGGGGTGGAATGACAGTATGCAGCTTTGAATTTCCAAGTTAGTAGGAATGGACATGAGAGTGGGTAGGAGGTGGGAGGGCACTGATTTGGAGATGTGGTTGGAGAAAGAGTTTATACCTGGATACTCCAAATAGCTTTGCCCCAGCAATCCTTTAAAGTGGCTAAGCAATGCATTGTGTAGATCATGACCCTGTATCATATTCCCAAGAGAATTTTTAAGTGCTTGGACCTTCCTCTTGTTGGCTTTGGATGAGAAACACTTTATGAAGTAGGCTGTATTCTGATCCCCCTCCCTAAGCCAGTGGATTTGTGCCTTTTGTTTGTAGAACATCTCCTCTACAAGACATAATTCTGAAAACTTAGCAGCAAGCTCCTTCTCATTCACTCTTAATTGATCATCCACGGGATTGAGATCAAGGCAATTTTGACAGTGGTAAAGCTCCTCCTACAAGCCTCCACTCTAGATGAGATGGCACCAAAGTCATTTTTGTTCAAAAGCCTCAGTGGTAACTTGAGAGCCCTTAATTTTTTAACCACATAGAACATCTTGGTACCTGTGACTACCAATTGCCAACCATGAGCCACAATATCAAGAAATTTAACATTAAGTATCCAGAAGTTTAAAAACCTGAATGGTAAATTCCTTCTAGAGGAAATGGTACCAAGCCTAAACACGATTGGTGAGTGGTTAGAAATGCCATGTGGAAAAAAATAACACTCACTCTGTGGGAATTGATTCAAACATACATGGTTAACAAGAACTCTATCAAGCTTTTTTGAAATGTTTGCACAACCAAAACTGCCAGAAGTAGGTTCCAGTGTATTTGAGATCCTCCAATTCATTCTTGTGGAGGCAATCCCTGAACTCATGCATTCTAGTAGTCCATCTCAGTGCATTCCCAAAGGATTCATTGATATGAAGAAGCACATTGAAGTCTCCTAATAGGATCCATGGCATGGTTGTATTCCTTTAAAGGTTAATACTCCTCCACAATGATCTTCTTTCCACAACAGTATTACAAGCATAAATAAAAGAGGTAGTGCATTTAACTTTAAAATCAATGAGCTCAATGGTACAGTGAATAACTTGACAATTCTCTGAGATTGAAACCACTGAGACCTTTGCAGGGTTCTATAGTATCCAAACTTTGCACATTAAAGAGGAACCATTGTTACCAATGAACAACCAAGATGGTGTAATAGCCTTGTGTATATCATCCACATTTTCAATGCCTACTTTGGTTTCAACCAGAGCAATTAGATATAATTCAGAATCCCTAATTAAGTGTCTAACCTCTATTTGCTTGAGGGGAGAGTTTAGCTCTCTTATATTCCAAGCTGCCCAATTCATTGGGAAGCTGATGCTGTGAGGCTACACAACCCTAGAAACCCTTTTAGGGTAACTGGATTAGCTACATTGGTCACTTTGGACTTTCCATTCTTCACCCTCCTATCAATCTTAACATGCTTGGTGTGCTTTGGCTTTCTAGATGTGAGAGCTTTGTTCATTATAGGTGAGTAAGTGGGATCATGTGAGGATCTAGAAATCTCTTCTTCCTCTTTTGAGTTAAAATCTGGTGTGATTGAAGGCCCTTCCCTTCCATCATTAGGATTCTTGCTTGAGTCCACACACTTTAAGTTATTGGGCACTGGGGTTACTGAGTTCATGGCTAAGAGTAGTGGAGGTTTGTGATTCATTTTGGGGGTTTTCATTTTATGGGGGGATAAATCAATTACCAAAGAGATACCACTACTTTTCACATGGGAGATTGGACTTTCTTCAGTAGATGGATCGATGGGAAGCACTTGGAACCTATTTTGGAATGGAACGGCATTGGGGGATAGATTTGTAGTAGCTACCACCTCTTCAATTGTCAATGGATTTTGGTAGCAAACTATTTCCTTTGAGGTATTTGTGTTGGGGAGTGGGGCTGGATGATAAGTGAGAGAATCAATTCCTTCCAAGACCTTTATGGTAGAGGTTTGTGCTGAAAAATCTGTGTTTTCACCAGGTTTGAAGGGGTTGGGAATGGATGACATGTGGTTAAATCTTAAATACCTTTGTTTTTTCTCGTGACAAGCTGCCATTTGCCTTGAGGTTT